CCATGGTATCTACGTTGTGTCTTCATTGATGATCTTTGTTTAGGGAAGTAGTTTTAGATGCCATGTTGGATATTGTCTTAGACATACGAATTCACAATTTTACTTGCTATTTATTTTTATGTTTGTGAAGAGTTCTCGGGTTCAAGAAAGATCTGGCATAGAGGTTGTAAAACAAGATATTGTACGTTATGCAGCCAGCAACTGGTTCAGAGATTTCTCAAGAATTTTCGATGGATTTGTGTCATCGGGGCCAAAGCTTCCGAAGGCCGCCGTGAAAATCGCCTTCAATTCGAAGGGATTTCAAGTTTTGTCATCCGACAATCCTGACACTCCTCCCTTACTTAGTCTGGGATATTCTCAAATCAAGAAAGCGTCCAGTGTAAGGTCTGTATATAATGCTCAGTGGATTCATACACCTTAAAGGGTCTCTTTTCTACACAAAGATTCAGTTCTCCTGGTATTCAAGCACAAACGATACTTAGAAACATGAGAGATCAATTCCTCCACGATTATATTTTAAAAAAGGAAAAGTCCTTGTAAATCAGATCTTTGATCCGAAATCACCTTACATTAAATGCTTGAAAAATCAAATTCAAACAAACCACATTCGAAACTTCGGCTTGTTGGATACGTTACACCAACTCTGGGCAGGGTTACACTAGTTTTTAAATACATGACAACTTTTATGTAAGTTTTTTCCAGTAACTAGTCGGTTTCAGTTTGTTTAGGAGGATTGAGAGTTGGTTATCGCCAAAATGCTTAGAATCCCGGTTACTCAGCGTTTAGAGTATGGACAACTGGACAGTTGACGTATTTGACCAACTGTCTGACTGACTGACTAACTGACTGACTTACTGTCTCAGTGACTGTCGACAACTGGAAATAGTTACATTTACATGAGTATGTTGCTTTCTCAGTACTAAGACATGTATTGAATGACTCGCGTTAATTTTTTGTTTCGTGTTCAGGAAAGGAATGTATCTGGACCCCGTTTTGGTGTTGAACACAATTCGTTCCCAGACCTTCTCTTTTAGGAGTGTACAAGCTGATACAATGCATAATCTTATCAATCATTTCTTGCAATATTTTAAAACTCCAAATGCCGCTGGTGTGGACGACTGATTATCTGGTTGGATTGTGTCTCGGTCGACTTCAAGTCATTCTGTCGATAGTTACCAGTATCTGATCTGCAATATACGGTGTTATACTCCATTGTTTGTTGCCGGGGATGTCATCGGACACAGGAAAATTAGCAAGAAACTGTATCAATATTTTTGCCTTAAAATAAAACAAAGATTCCATACGACTGGATAACGAACCATGGAATGTATGTGAATTAAATGTATGGAGATGTAAAGGCCTTTTTTTACTTTTAAATGTTAGTCCTTTTATGATAGTAAACCAAGCGCCCTGATTTTATGGTCTGATTTTATGGTCTGATTTTATGGTCTGATTTTATGGTCCTTTATCGGAACAATGTATCAGGACCTTACTGCCTCGAAGGTTTACATTTGTCCTTTTCTCCAGCTGGGTTTATTGGAGAAATTATCTACCGCATCGAGGGCGCTGACGAACGTAGTTGTTACAGCAGGATTTTCATAAAGAGCAGGGTTTTATGTTAAATCTCCTGAATCCAGGAACTGTAAATCATTAGAATGGTTTATGGAACTTGAAAATAACAGGCTGTCAATCAAGTGTAAATACTATTGCCCAGTTTCAAATAAATTTAATTTTATCTGGAAGTTGTTCTACCTTAATGAAATCATTTGAAATAGTTTTAAAAGCACTTGTAAAATTGAGAATAGGCAGACACCAACTCCGAATTGAAACAGGTGGATACGAAAAAATCCTTTAGAACTGCAACCAGACAAGTCATTGGAAAGGAAGCAGATTTCCTGTCAGAGAAATGTGTTTTTTCTGGAAACATAAATCGAATCCCACATTTATAATTACCTATGCATGGAAGCTCTCGGATGAACTACACAGACCATAGTGTTATCATTTCGACACCGTTTGCAAAACTCTTTATCAATCTCATCATGCTTTGAAACAGGAGACAAAATGAGAACAACCAATTTGTCATGAAGTGATGTAAATTCAGCCTTTGGAGAACAAGGTGTTGTGTTGCTTTTTGTCGTTGTCACTGAGAGGTGACCTTGTAACGTGGACACCGGGAAGTGCTTTTCTGTGTGTTTGGTTTCGTCGCTTTCGGATCAGCGTCGTATTCTAAAGCTTTCCAATCCATGTATAGTATGCCAGTTGAGGTGGCTAAAAAATGTTATGTTGTCGTGAAACACCAAATCTTTGATGGATTGTAGCTTTCGTGTCCGGCTGAAATAGCTCAGTCATTGAACACCGCTCTTTCTATCTCTTCCTTTCTCTCAACCTTTTCTTTTTTTTTTTTTTCTTCACTTTTTTTATAGAGCAGTTGAAGCTAGGGTAGCGGCTCTACGGGTCTTATGATATTTCTCTATATGACTGATACATTAAGTATTTTTTATCGGAAATACGTTCTGCTGGACAACGATAACGAAGGCTCTAAGGGCGAGATTGTCAGTTCCGCGACAGAGCTGAATAACGTACACGCATGCGCTAGATTTTGCCGCGGAAACACGGATTTTGAGGACTGTCGATTTTGAGTCGTTCGCATGAATGATTTCCTATTCTGTTGCTTCGAGGTGTCGTTTTCCTTGCCGCTTTTCTCTTACAGAACAACCTCGCTAAATTTTAGATCTAGGACACTTGAGCCCGCGTTGTTGACCGCAACCCACTGACGTAGTATTTCATTATTCAGCTCTGTCCAGTTCAGCTGCTTCCTTTAACACGACAAGGCGTCCCTCTGTCTGGATCCAAGTGTCTTATTTTTTCTTTGCCAAAGAATAGGAGGAAAGGGAAAGAGCTTCCGGGATTGAAGCTTCGTCACTTTCAGTTGACTTGTAACGTTTCCTTATTGGCTCTTGGGTTGAAACATATTTTCCCGCCAAGCCTTTGTATCCTAGCGGAGAGGAAATATCATTAGCCTCGTTTGCATGTGATTACAACACAGCCCGGCTGGGGCACTGCAGGTCTGATCCAAACAATAACTATGCTTGAATACAAACACAACTACTTTCGCTTATAGAAGATTCCTTTCCTCCCTCTGAATTAGATGAAAGAGACTCATTATCAAAATAATTCTGTGATTTCCATGTATGTAGATTCTTAATGCAATACATGGTTTTTTCCTAAGCGACGAGTCTCTAATGCCGGTAAGTGTCCTAATATTGAATTAAAGTTCGATCGTCTGGGCTCCGCTTTTATCAAGCAGTAACGATGCCAAAAAATCTGCAAATAGATATTTTACTAACTTTTAAACAGTAGTTGTATTACTTTCTTGCACTTTAAACCCAACAATATTTATTTGGATCGATGCTTTAGACAGTTTGTACATGGTTGCAGGTTGGTTACATTCTGTTGGCGAGTGACAGATCTCGTCGTCTCATCAAACCTTGTTGTTTGTATTTTCAAAGTTTACAATGGTGATCGTCTCAAAGGTAGGAAAGAATAAACCCTTAGTAGATGCAAGATTTTTTCGCTCCTTATTTCTATCGAAAATTCTGAATCGGAAGTGCATCCGACTTTCCTAATCATCGGTGCGTTCGCTATATTCAGAGAAATGTCAACCCTAAATCTTATTAAAACCAAAGCCCAAAGTGAGAGGAACTGGAAAGTTTGTATTTTTCTATAACATCGACGACGTCTTACAAGCGAGTTATACTTTCAACCGTAATTCTTCATAGCTGCGGAAAATTTATTGCTCCAACGATGAAAAATATTTTTTTGATATAGGCTGGAGTGTATATTGAACGAACAAAATCGAACGATTTAGGACTTACTTGTTGAAAATGTTTTAAAACAAGACCCGAGAAACGTTTATCGCAACTTGATAGAAACATTTTTCAAACTAAAACATTTATTAGTGATACAGTATGTCTGAAACCAACCTAGCTTTAAGCTGGACATAGTGAGTTAGTTATGAATATTTATTTTGGTTCTAAAGCTGTACAATATTAGGAAGAACCTTAAATAAGACAACCTCGATATCTCAGCTAGATTAAAATTTTATTGCATCATTTTCGAGTACCTCTACGCTTTTATATTTTATAAAACACTGCATTAATACAAAAGGAATTTCTATTTTGTCTTGGTATCAATAACCACGTAGTTCTCGAATAATCTTCCAGTTACTGGTGCATGATAACTTCACTAATTGAATGCTCGCAGTTAACGTGAAGTTGCATTGTCTTCACTGAACCTCCTGGTCAAGTAATTGATTTGCATGAGCAGATCGTGAGAATGATAATACATGAATGCTTTCTTCCTGAATTGTGTAAGTGTTGTCGATTCCTAGCAATATGAAATCCTCAATAAACAATATATGATTAACGCGCGAAGCTTAATCGATAATCATTCACATTTTCACCCAGAACTCCTGACAGTACTATATATTACTGTTAAATTCTCACCTCACCTCGCCTACACTGTATCAACAAGTTACTTTTCACATTTGTTTCCCTGAAAACTCAGGTGGCAGCGAATGTTGTTGTTGGTCATGCAACATTATTTAATAAAGACTCAAATTATAATTACCTCAATTATCGTTAGCGATTTACTGGGAGACAGGGAGACCTGGAAATTAATTGTATTTCAGTTCACAGAGGTAATCACTGACTAGAATATTATTATTTATTTATTGAATAAAAGCAAATTTTTGTATGAGAAATACAAATATTACCAACAAAGTGATTTACTAGAGATGCCTTCCAACTATTTTAAATATTTGGATTTCATTCTTCTATAATTATGGTAAAAGAAATTTTCAAGCTTCTTGTCTTGTTAGCATAATTATTAAACTTGGAATAAATTTTAACCCTTGGCTTCTAATATCCAAGGCTAAATAAACATCCTGATGACCATAGAAACTTTAAGGGAGAGCAATCTCAAATATATTGACCAAACAAGAAGTGAATATTGTTGAATAATCCCAGAAATGAAGTACACTGTAAAGGGGATTATTCCATAATATTCACTGAACCTGAGGCAAATAATTGTTTCAGTATAACTGCTAGGGTGCTTTCAAATTCTCTTGTAAATTTTTTTTTTTTTTTTTTTGATGCTGTAACCATTCTGTTTCCATAATTTTGATCACTGGTATGGATCGAGATAAAGAGACAGTGAATCTCCACTAGAATTTAACAGGTGTGACTTAAATTGAATCAGCAATAAACTTCATACCTCTCTTTTGAAAAGTGTAATTCCAAACTTAGGAGAATCTTTTGTGCTCTTCAGAGTCAAATTTTGTCTAAAGCACTGGAGGGAAATGAGACTTGTTTAGGGAGAAACGAGACATGTTTCAAGAAATGAGACAGGAGATAGTAACTTACTTTTGAGCGGTACTGTAAGACAGAAAAATCATAGATGTATATTCTTTGGTATGGGGCATCTGCTACTGTAGCACTCTTCTGGCCATAATTATGGAATTGCTGGCATAAATAAAAAAACTTTCCTGCTGTTTTGGTCTTGGACCTGTAAAAACTGGATGGGACCTCAGTATGACAACTTTCAATTTTTTTAGAGGGCACGTCAATAGTGATAGGTTGACAAATTTGATCTCCATACAACATAGATGATTATTTTTAATAAAGCTGGTCATAAGTTTTATTTCAGTCACGTACTTCTACTGGTACATGTGCATTATGGTGTACATGTAGATCTGAAAATGTTTCTGTACAGTATGTCACTGTCCTTGCAGCAGTCTCAAAGTGGAAATAGTCTGGAGTTGCCTGTTTTATCAGAGAGTTGATTTAAGGCATGCTTTCTCTTGTGTCTGCAGGGTGAACATGTCTGGCTGGACAATGTTAATGGAGGGGAGTTTGATGTGCCCATTGGAGCGCTGGTCAAACTGGCTGATTCGGGACAGATTCAAGTTGTTGATGATGAGGGGAAGGTATTTAACCTTGGCTATTTTCCCCATGGACCTGTTCTGTCAACTCCCTTGTAATTTCTAGACTAGACTATTGTAATAGCATTCTATATGGGATACCAAAGTATCAAAGGGACAAACTACAGAGGATCCAGAATATCGCTGCTCGTATGATAACCGGAACATGAAACACTGACCATATCACACCTATTTTAAAGAATCTACATTGGCTGCCAATCGAAGCAAGAGTTAATTTTAAGATATTACTTTTAACTTATAAGATCTTAAATGAGCAATCTATTAGTTATTTAGAACCTATTAAACAAGAATACCACCCATCAAGAACACTGAGATCATCAACTCGCTTACAGTTATGCATCCCACCTATTAAATCCAATTCCTATGGTGGACGCGCTTTTTCAGTATCTGCACCGAAGTTATGGAACTCAATTCCTGAATAGATTAAAAGAGCGGAAACAGTAGAAACATTCAAAATTAGGCTTAAGACATTTTTGTTTAAAAAACATTATTGTTAATTAATTACTTATTCTTATGTCTTAATAATGTGCATTGAGATTAGAAATGCACCCTATAAGCATCTATTTATTATTATTATTATTATTATTATTATTCTGTTGTCAACTGTTATTAATTAAAGTTATAATCCATTGCTTATATCTCTTTCAATGAAAAAACTCCCAAGTCAAGATCTGACTCAGTTACTTGTCAAATATTACATAAATCTAAAGAACTAATATTAATTATTGATTATGGGATAAT